ACGGCGGCGGCGAGAGAAGAGAGAAGCGGCAACGAGAAGGCGGCGAGGAAGAACAATGGCGGTCCGGCAACCGTGGAGGCAACATCGGGCGGAGGCGGGGCCAAATGACGCAGCTGCGAGGCGACGCGACGCAGCTGGAGCCTGAGGGACGAATAGCTGAGCCGCAGTACGACAAGCAGCGTGCGGAAGGAAGCCCACCGAGGATTGCCAGCTACCCGGGAGTGCCGAGACTATGCCTGGAACTGCCTTGAGCCGCCGGAAAAGTGTGGAAAAAGAAGAAAGGAAACCCGCCGTCTGGGTGCCGTTAGGTAAAACCCCCCCTCCGCACAAATTGTGGTCTTAGTTAGGATCGACTACAAATGTAGTCAAAATTGTAAACCACTCTGAGACCCATTAGGGGTTATGAGCGGTATAGAAATCACATGTAAATAAATAAAAAAATAAATATTTATTTCTACAACGAGCCTTTTTCCTAGTCTTATATACTTCTATTAGTCAATTTCTTTTTCTTTTCTGTTCTTTTTTTCCCCCGTTTCCTTTTTTTCTGCACCTTTCCCAGCTCCGTAATGCCCTTTTTGATACAGCCATGCTATAGATTTGTATTCGATTCCTTCTTCCCTGAATGGCAGGAAGCCCCAAGGGCAGCATCTGCAAGGTCAGTCTCCTTGCCAGTGCCAGACAGTGCAATCCTAAGAACCTTTTCCTGGGAAGAAGCTCCATTGAATAGACCTGGGTAGGATTCAGAGTAGACCTGCTTAGGATGCTTTTGGAGGTGTTCTAAACAGTTTAGCCATCAGGCTTGCGTGATTCCTCCATTGCTGCTGGGACAACTGGTGCAGGCGCAGTGGCAACGGGGCTTCCACAGGGTGGCAGGTTTCCCTGCAGTCCCCTGGCATCCCTGCCTCCTCACCACCAGGTGTTTTTTCAGATTTCTTTAAATTTCCAATTTGATATTATATCATTGTGATGTTACAACAGACTCTGTATCAGGTTAACTAAATTCCCAGCTTTCACCTTTTTTAAAAAAGTAAGTACCGATGCAGAGATATATAAGAGGAAACCTTTGTTGCCATTTGCTGTCTTGCTGTGTTTGCCTGTTTGTTTTTCTCCATGGCTTCTCAAACCTGCCTAGATCTGATTTGAGGAAGCATGGAGAAAGGATGTAGAAACTGGAAGGACAAGAAACTAAAAACAAGGACATGAGGAAGCTCAGAGAAAAGACACTGCAAGTTGGCACTCAAGCCATAGGGAAACTTCCCTGTGAAGAAACACAAACTGATCAATAAACCAGCTTAAAACCGTGGTTTCAGATCCTGGTATGACAAACCCTAGCTGACTGTGGTGAGTAGAGTGTCCTGCGTTCAGATAACCATGCGATGGGTTTTATGTGATGTCTGAACTGTTTTGGAGACGGACCTTATAACACAGAAATAAAAGAGAAGCCCACTCTCCACATTTTTATGAGGCTGCATCTGAAACATTTATGATGGGATGCACACCAAGACTCTTTCTGCCCCCAATTCTGCCATGGAAATTCTGATGGAAAGTACCATCAAGTCAGAGCTGACCTGGGGAACCCTGTGGGAATTTCGAGGGAAGAGAAGAAACAGAGATGGTTTGCCATTGCTTGCCTTGGCGTAGCAACCCTTGACTTCCTTGGTGGTCTCCCATGCAAGTGCTAAGCCAGGCCGAACCTACTTAGCTCTCAAGATCTGAAGAGATCCAGGTCAGGGTCCATTCTCCCTTCCCCTCCTGTAATTTTCCTTATATAAAATGTGGGAAATGATTTCCTCTTTCTAGCGTCTGAAGAAGTGAGGCCTGACTCATGAAAGCTCATACTGGAATAGATGTTTTAGAACAATGTCTGAGTCCAGTGGCACCTTTAAGACTAACAAAGTTGGTCTTAAACTTTGTTGGTCACAGTGCTCCTTGCTATCAATGGCTACTGGCCATGGTGACTGAGGAGAACCTCCACATTCACAGACACTATGCCTCTGAGTCTCAGAGCCAGGAGGCAACCTCAGCGGAAGGCCTTGGCCTCTGTGCCCTGTTGTCGGCCGGCCAGAGAAAATGGCTGGCCACTGTGTGAGACGGGAGGCTGGACTAGATGGACCCTCACTGGTCTGATCCAGCAGGGCTCTCCTTATGTTCTTATGAAGGCCTTGGCCTCCATGCCCTGTTGTTGGCCCTCTGAAGGAACTGGTTGGCCCCTGTGTGAGAGGATACTGGACTAGATGGACCCTCACTGGTCTGATCCAGCAGGGCTCTCCTTATGTTCTTATGAAGGCCTTGGCCTCCATGCCCTGTTGTTGGCCCTCTGAAGGAACTGGTTGGCCCCTGTGTGAGACAGGATGCTGGACTAGATGGACCCTCACTGGTCTGACCCAGCAGGGCTCTCCTTACATTCTTAAGGTGCCACTGGACTCAAACTTTGTTCTGCTGTTTCAGACCAACACAGCTACCCACCTGGAATAAATGTTAGTTTTTAAGTGGCCGCTAGACTTGTGTTTTATTTTGCTACAATGGACCAAGACATCTGCCCCTCTGGTTTTATATCAGAGATCCTTTGTTTGACACACTCAGAGAGGTAGACTGTCTCTGTATATGGCAGTTCCACACGGCTGTTCCAGCTAATAGAAATATTCTAATCTTGCCTAAGCTTCATTTTTTCCCCTAATGTGTTTGAGAGCTGTCTAAACTGGTGGCCGTCACCCTGTCTCATGGCAGTGAATTCCAAACTACTTGATGCCCAGTGCCTCTGGAATCACTGCCCTTGTCCTTCCTGCCAACAGGCTGACAGGCAATCCGGGGGAGTTGGGGTAGGGGAGCCAAGGCTCAGGAAGGGGGCCCATAAAAACTGCTAGGGGGCCAGGCCCCGCGGGCCCCGCGTTGGCTACGGGCCTGATTTAGAAGGGTATTTATTTTAAAATAAAAATGAGTTGTATACATCTGTCAAGTCTTGATCTATACCCACCCCCCCATCATTCCCAATCCTCCCGTTTTCTTTTGCTGGTGTTGTCAACACAGAAACACAGATGTCAGCAGCCTCATAGCAGGAAACTGTCTCTTTTGCTTATGTTACCATTCTAAAGGAAAGAGGGCAGCGAATGAAGTAATTGGAGATGTGAGATTGACCTTCCATGGAGACCTTTCTGTGAGAGTCTGCTGCAGAGTGCTCATCGGCAGGCCCTTCGGTGCTTCTCTTCCCTGTCGGATAATCAGCCTTTTGATCCCACTCTCTCTCCTTTCTCCTCTTGTCCATTCCCCCCCTCCCCCAGTGCACAGCCAGGTGTGGCGAAAGGAGCATTGTGACCAGAGACATTCGGTGTTCTGAAGAAGAGAGGCTGTGTGAGGCCAACCCAAGGCCACCAGCTGAGAAAAACTGCACTGGGCCCCCCTGTGACCGTCAGTGGACCGTCTCTGACTGGGGACCTGTGAGTCTTTTGGGGGCGTGGGGGAGGGAAAGACTTGCCAAGGGAGGGGCGGGAGAACCAGATGTTCATGAGCAATATGAGTGGAAGATGTTGGTGCACATCTTGTTTCCTGAGAAGTAGCCCAAAGGTTCAGAATTTCGTTTTCGACAGCGGCCATTGAGATGTGTGCATGAAGTCCATCACTCAGAGAGGTAGACTGTCTCTGTATATGGTAGTTCCACATGGCTGTTCCATCTAATAGTTAGAAATATTCTAATCTTGCCTAAGGTTCATTTTCCCCCCTAATGCGTTTGAGAGCTGTCTAAACTGGTGGCCGTCACCCTGTCTCATGGCAGTGAATTCCAAACTACTTGATGTGAAGAAACACTTTATTTTGTCTGTTCTAAACAGTTTAGCCATCAGTTTTTCTTAATGATTCCCCTGCGCTCCCCAGCCACCGCAGCCATCATCCAGCTGAAGTTAAGCATTATTATGTCATCTTGGGGTCAGTTCTCAATTTTCTGCTTGAAATCAGTAGGACGTAAAAGTGCTCAGCTTTTGCCCGGGTGGCACCAGTACTGACAGCCCGGCTTAGACCTGGAATGCATTTCCCACCGAGCCTCTTCCCTCCATTGCGAATTGCATTAAGAAATATCCTTGGAGTGTTCTGTTACACAGACATGGACCTGGAACTTTCCTTTGCCAAGCAGATGTTCTGCCCGTGAGTCACAGCCTCCCCCCCTGTTCCCTTTGTGTGCAAATCCTGTGTCCAAAAGCATTTTGGGCCATCTGAAGGTTTTTCAACCAATGTGAACATTTGACAAAAGTGACCTGCGGCTGTCAGCACTGAACATACCTGGCAGCTGATGTCCCTTGTGCAATTCCAGCCAATGAGTCCCTGGTTCTGGATAGGCAATTTGTACAGTGATTTTGCCTCAGTGGCATATAATATATGGAGGCATAAAGTGGTGTTAAAAGGTTATAAAATAAACGAACCAGGAACACCAGCAGTGCAAATGGGCACAATGAAAAAACCCACAAAGATGAAAAGATTAGAAAGGGGCCTATCTCTAGGAGGGGGCTCTTCTGGAGCATGTCTGTGGGCAGTTCTCAGAAACATCTCCGCACAGCTGTCAGGCAGGGGCTTCTTTGGGGGGGGGGTTAGCATCTGTGAGTTACCCACAGCCTTGGCTTCTGTTTTTGCCATTGGAAAGCTCTCCGTGGAGTGAGCCTGGCACGCCTTCCCCCAGCATGAGGATTAAATTGCATTTGTTAGCTGTCCACGGGCGCTCTGAGCTGGCAGACACTCTCTCTGACTTCCAGTAAAACCTTCTTCTCCAACGTAAGCAGAAGTCCAGCTGCAGCGTCTTGCCCCGTCTCCTGCTTTCTCAGAAGAGGAAGAAGCAGGCAACGAAGGCCCTTTCTAATCCTCACGCCTCCAGAGCAGAGCTGTTAAAAGGTCCAGGATTTAAACTGGGTTTAATGGCACAGAGTGGTGGCGGGTGTGTGTGTGTGTTGCTTTTTCAAAAAAAGAAAAGAAAAAAGGAGGGGGGGGCAGAAAGAAACGTTCCAAACTGAAAGTTACACTGCTTGCCTCCTGACTTTCACACCAGTTCTGGAAAATGAATTTTGAAGTTGATTGATATGTTCCTGTCAACCTGTTATTTTTTGTTAAATAACATACTCCAGAAATTTTCAGTGAGGTAGGAGGCTGTGTTTAGGTTTGTCATTCTAGCTTCATTTTGTTTCATAAAACAGAAGGGCCAAATTATAAAAATTCAACGGATGAAAATAGTATTTGTTTTTAAACAGCCCTTTGGTAGCATTTATGGAGCTGCGGTGGCTCAAGTGGTTAAGACGCTGAACTGCAGGCTGTGGAAGGTCAGTAGTTCAGCAGTTCAAGACCCGAGTTGCCGCATGACGGAGTGAGCTCCCGTCTCTAGTTCCAGCTCCTGCCAACCTAGCAGTTCGAAAGCAAGACATTGCAAGTAGATAAATATGTACCACTTCAGTGATAAGGTAACAGTGTTCCGTGCGCCTTGGTGTTTAGTCACGCCGGCCACATGACCACGGAAACGTCTTCGGACAGCGCTGGCTCTTCGGCTTTGAAACGGAGATGAGCACCGCAACCCTAGAGTCGGATTCGACTGGCTTTCGAGCAACGGAACCTTTACCTTTGGTAGCATTTAGACACCCAGTGATCAGTCGATCGATCTGTCTGTCTGTCTGACTACCTATTTGCTATCTCTCAGGTATCTATCAGCTGTCTAGCTTTCTTTCTAGATTTTAAGCTGAAAAGTTTCTGTAGCTTGTACTATTAAAAATTACTTTTCTAAAACATTAGAAAAGAGTAAGCTCTAGTAGCACCTTAAAGACTAGCAAAATTTCTGGTAGGGCAGGAGCCTTCGTGAGTCACGGCTCACTTCTTCAGATACTTTTCTAAAACAGATGATAGAGTTGGCTTTTTTAGTTTCTCAGGCCACATTAGTATACCACAAGTGCTAAAATGTGAGCAGATGGACTGATAAATGGCTGTTCTTTTAGGGCAGGCTTACGAATAATTTTTTTTTTTTGCTCCTGGAAGATTTCTTTTATATAAAAATTCTTTTATATAAAAATCCCATTTTCTCAAATGGCACTTATGCACTAGCCCCTCCCAACTGGTGGCGACGGACCAGGAAGGAGGTCTTGGGGTCATGGCAGACAACGCCGTGAAACCCACTGACTTTCAGCTGGCTGCCAGCAGGCATCCCATCCCGCCAGCATTCTGCACAGACCTGCCTGGCTGCCAGGCTTGTGTGTGTACCCGGCTCCTGCCTCCTCTCTGCCCTGAATAATGGCCCTTTCTGAAGGCATTTTTTACCCTGCCATTTCTCTGTACCCAATCCTGTTTGCCTTTACTCCGGATTCAGTGCCGCTCTGCCTCACGCCCCCCTGAATTGCAAAATATCCAGATTCTGCATTACTCTGAGAAAAGTTACCCAACTTCAGTCATGTACTCCCGGCATCCATGCCTCAGACTTCCACGTGGCCTCCCCTTCAGTAAAATGATGTTTAGGGACAATTAACATCCAGGACTTGGAGTAGTGTGTGCAGGGGTCATTTCATAGAAAAAGAGCTAGGGGAACTCATTAGCATAACTCATTAGCATATGCCACACCCCCTGACATCAGGGGCCCGGCGGTGGACCTGCAAGGCCAGCGGGAGTGTGAGGAAGCCCCGCCAAGACCCTCCCTGGCCCCAGGCAGGCAGGGGTGGGGAGAGGCGGGGAGGAAGCAACTTACCCTCCCTCTTCTCCTGCCTCCTCCTGGCTGAATGAGGGCTGGAAGTGGGACGGCCGGAAGCAGGGGGCGGGGCTTCGTCATGTGCCCCGCCCCCTGCACCTCACCCGGGGGAACTGTGTTCCCCCGCGTTCCCCCCCGAAATGACCTCTGAGTGTGTGTGTGTTAACAGTACTAATACACACAGTTAATACACACAGTCCTGAAGTACACTGAAACATGTGTGATGGTAGGTTTTGTGTTATATAGGAAACAAAGCAAACATTTGCTAAAAGAACAACCCCTGCATTGCACACTGCTCGATGTCTGGTGGCTGGTATCATGGTTGGGGGGGGGGCGACATTCAGAGATTCAGAGAGATAACATGAGGGGGAGCTGTGGGCCACCATGCGTGTTGTGGCTGTGGTTCAATGCGGGAATACCCGCCGTGTCCCCAGAGGGGAGCCGTTCCCTAACTCAAGAAACAAGCCATTCCATCCACCCCCACACATTTTGCAAATGCACTGCATCGTCTGCCAAGGCTTGGTTTACACACTGTTCGTAGGTTTTGGGGGAAAGTCACCACAATAGACTCAAGCATGAAGTGAAAACAAATGAACCAAAGAGGGGGAATGCAGTGGTGTTGCTTGTGTTCTGCTTAAGGGTGCAGGGTGGTAGAAAGCTGCTCTCAAGGTACCCTCAGCGGACGGCTGCCCCAGAACCCATGATTCAGAGCCTATTCCAGCCAAGGGTGTAGACTTTCCAATTTGGGGGGGGGGGCTGGGGCTGGGCCAGAGGCATTGCTTTGCTAGGAGCAAGGGTGGCTCCCGGGGGAGGCTGAGCACCTTCCTGAAAATTTAGGCGGGGGCTGAAGCCCCGCCGCCCCCACGAAGATTACGCCTATGATTCCAGCCCAGACGCAAGTACACTCATCCAGGGAAGGTGGGCTAAGATGGCCCCTTAAGGGCAGGGACAATAAATCTGAAAGATTTCTTCTGCATTAGAATTACTCCGGCATGGAGGGCGGGGGGACTTTGTGGCAAAACAGCATTCAGAAAATCCAGGGAAACAGCAGAGGGAAACTTCACTGAGAGCTGAGCAATGCAGAATTTTAAAATAACCCAGCAGAAATGCAGAGCAAACCTCGGAGGCAATTCAGAATTAAAAAATATACACTGAGTCGAAAACAGGAGGCAAAGTTGAACAAAAACTATACCGTGAGACAGAACAGCTGTGAGTGCGGGGAATAACCCAGTGCAGAAAGGGCTAATGAATCCTGTTTTGAAACCCATCCCACTTACCTGGAATGTGGAAATGCAGGCACCTGTTTTAATCAGAGTTTGTTCCCCCCAACACATGCAATCTGGGATGCAAAACCATTAAAATTCAGGGTTGTGTTGGGGACGTTGGCTGGGGGAGGGGAAGAACCCCATTGAAGCTTGATGCCTGCATTTGCACATTGTAGGGAAGCAGAGATTACCCATGGCACTGTGTGGGGAAACGCAGGTGTGTGCAAAAGCCTGGCAACAAGCACAAGTTTGTACACAATATCAGCACAATTTGATGGCTGAATGCAGCCAGCTAGTAGGTGGCATTGTGGAAATCATCAGCTTCCTGTTAAGGGATTATTAAAGGTAAAGGTTCCCTTGCTTGAAAGCCAGTCGAATCCGACTCTAGGGTTGCGGTGCTCATCTCCGTTTCAAAGCCGAAGAGACATTTCCGTGGTCATGTGGCCAGCATGACTAAACACCAAGGCGCACA